AAAGTCGCTCATCATAATGACCGGACGTCCAGTCACTTCATACACAACTTTACCTCCAACTCGTGTAAGTCACGCAAAAATTCGCTGAGCCTGAAGGGGAAGTAATACGACACTACGATCACATTCCCTCAATCCACCGCCGCGAACCGCGTACTACCCCTCCAACGAGGGGAGCACGGCACCCTCGAGTGACTCTACTGCTAAGTGACAGCGGCCGAGGGAGGAGTGTCCGTGGAGGCTAACCAACGGTCATCCAGAACGTGATTTGGCTCCAAAACGGCGACTATTCCCAGATTAAATTCCTTAGAACCGCAGATCTTAGTGATTAGGTTCTGCGAGGGTCTCGACCCATTTACATTGATCTGGACCAATCTAGCCATTGCACGTGTCCATTGCAGTCCCCTCATCCGCGAGAACCGGGGCCCCCCGATCGACCCCGGCGGATGTCCTGACCACACGCGAATCTCTGTTTATCGGCACTTGTCCACGTCCATTAAAGCGCATTCCGGCGCGCCGGCATGATGTCTCGCCGCGAATCCCCTAGACGCGCAGACTGGACAACGCAGGGGCAGCCGGCAGCCAGCAGCTCTATGCCCATTGTTTTCGCTGCATTGAAAACACCAAGCGGAGCGATCTACAGCACTCTGACAATTAATCCTGGTGTGCCTAATTGCAAAACAACGGAAACATTGTAGTCTCCGTTTTGCCAGGGGCACTACACTAGCAAAAGACCAAGTCTAAGACGTCCGACATTCAACAGTTTATTGGCACATGAAAGGGGACATTGCATCCATACAGTGTTTAACCTCCCGCGCCCTGGCCTAAAGGGACCAGTTCTTACATCCATAATGGGGACCTCCCCAATGGTAGCCACAGCCTTAGTCACCTCCTCTGGAGACAGACCGATGTCGATCAGCTTGACCTCCGCACAGCGAACCGGACGCACGACACTTACCTTGTCCTTATATTCACTTTCCGCCAACACAGCCTTACGCCAACGAGCGCCTCCATTGTGACACCGGCCTCGTCACCTCCGGGGATTTCGATGAGAAGAACCCCCCGCCTGCGCCTTCCGAATCCGCGTATTGGTGATGTTCAGCTTCTCCAGGGAAATCTTCTCCCAGTCTCACTACGTTCGCGTACAACGACCCGGATTTATCCTCCGTCTTCGCACATCTAAGCAGGACAGCCGCAGTCCTCGGAGCACGGAAGCGGAATTCCCTCGCGGCAGGGCGGCGCAACGCGACCCTCGAACCCTGTGCTGTAGGGCGGGAAATACCGGCGCACGAAACACTTTCGAATGCACCCGCGCAGCAGCGGCATACTCACAAGCAGTAGACTTCAGTACACTTCCACTTACCGCAACGCGTCGCGCACTTACAGCCCCAGTCGAGGGGGGAGGCACAACGTCTAAATCCGCCGCCGTTCCGGTGTTCAAGCCAACACTAAGGACCTCATTTTTCTTTCTCTTCTTCTTTTTCCTGGCTCTTTTGCGCGCACGTTTGGAGCCCACCTCTGTCCAAGGCTCACCATCTACAGGGTATGTCGGCGGAGGCGGTGGAAGCTCCACACGCAGAGCGCCCGCAAGCGTCACCTCACTCCCAATACAATCTCTGACCTCGGCTTGTCCACACGCAAATTGGAGTGATCGTCAGAAGCGATCCGCGACGAGTCCGCAACAATGCGGCCAGATTTATCGACTCTAGTGGGCAGAAGAGGCATATCGTCTAACCTCTTACGAACCCCACCAAGAGGCGGTCTATATACGGGAGACAGGTTTCTAGATCCATCTTTAGTCTCACGCGTCACATCGTTCATGATAAGGTCCCGCCGACGAAGAGTGTCTCCCGTAATTCCGAGAGCGGCGCGAAATGAGAGATCCGAGATTTATATCAATCTACAAAGTCCTGACAATTTAGCCACTCCAGCTTTCCCTTAAGGGTCGACAGGAAAGACTATGGACACTTCTAGTTGAAAACGAATTTTTTAATGCTGAAATTACGGCTAAAATGCTGGATTGCGTTTTAATACGATATTTGTAATCAGAAAAGACTTCTGAAGGCTCATACAAAAGCAATTTTTTTGGAAAAAAGGCAAAATAAAAATTTGTTCTGATATTTTATTCGATGTGTACTTAGTGTAGTTAAGGTATAATTTTATTATTAAAAAATTTTTAAGAATTAATTTGCAAATCCGGTTATGTACGTGCCTTCGCAGCTATAAAAAAATAATTAATGATTTATTAAGACCGTAATGTGAATACACAAGGTAGAATGTTAAAGCCTATAACGGTCGAAGTTGGATCTTTAATGCTTTAAATAATTTATTATAAATTATATATAGAGGAGAGTGGCCTGAATCGGACCGTGTTCCAAATAGGATCTTTTTAATTTAAATGAATACGGTTAAGCAGATTTGCGTGATATTTATAAAGTCCTTATGAGACACTGAACATGTGAGCAGTTTGATAGCAGTCTGTCATAACATTTATTAGAATAAACGTAAATATGTATTTTCAGCCATCATGTGAAAATTTTTAAAAAAAGATTTTTAAAAAATTAAAAAAAAAAATTTTTTTAAAATAGAGTTCTTATAAATCATTATTTAGGTGTTAAAAATTTGAAAGCTAATTGATTTAAGATAAAGGATGTAGAATTAAAAAAATATCAAGTGTTTTGTGATCACTTTTGTGATTTATTGTAAAATTTGTTCCAAAGTTCGAAAGCACCCGTGTTCAAATCGGACCTTTTTGAATGTTCAAATCAGACCTACAGTACAGTAGGTAACGTATAGACCTTTTTTTTTTGTTTTACGAGGGAGCAGAAAATCTTCACTAGCCCTACCCCGAGGGGGACCCCAAAA